ACAATTAATGCATGCTTTGAATAGATATTTGAAAGCTAAATTTACCTAAATCATCACTTTTTATACGCCCACATTTTCATGTGGACGTATATTACGGTCGTCATCACCCCTGTCCGTCCGTCCGTCTGTCCGTCCACAATTGTTTGTTAACAGTCTACAGGTCACGATTTTTATCCAATTTCAATGAAACTTGAAATATAGGTTTATCACCCTAAGATCTCGGTTCCTTTCGATATTGGCATGTATCGGACTGTAACTTTATGGATTATGGCCCCTGATTGTATGAAAAATCACGTTTTTAGCATGTGAACACTGTAGAGGTCACAATTTTTATCCGATTTTGTTTAAACTTGAAACGTATGCTTATAACCCAAAGATCTTGGTTCCTTTTGATATTCAGGCATATCGGAAAGTAACTTCCTGAATTATGGCCCCTGATTGTACGAAAAACCACGATTTTAGCTTGTGGACCCTATAGAGGTCATAATTTTTATCCGATTTAAAAAAACATATTATTATATCACTGTAGAGGTCACAATTTTTATCCGATTTAGTTTAAACTTGAAACGTATGCTTATAACCCAAAGATCTCGGTTCCTTTCGATATTCGTGCATATTGGAACGTAACTTCCTGAATTATGGCCCCTGATTGTACGAAAAATCGTGATTTTAGCTTGTGGACCCTATAGAGGTCATAATTTTTATCCGATTTAAAAAAACGTATTATTATATCACTGTAGAGGTCACAATTTTTATCCGATTTAGTTTAAACTTGAAACGTATGCTTATAACCCAAAGATCTCGGTTCCTTTCGATATTCGTGCATATTGGAACGTAACTTCCTGAATTATGGCCCCTGATTGTACGAAAAATCGTGATTTTAGCTTGTGGACCCTATAGAGGTCATAATTTTTATCCGATTTAAAAAAACATATTGTTATATCACCGTTACACCCTAAGGACGACTGAGTTCGAATTTTGTGAAAATGGGCCCAAAACTGACAGACAAAATGGCCGCCCTTCGTTCTCAAATAGCATAAAAAAATGGTATATCAAGATTGTGGACCCTATAGAGGTCACAATTTTTATCCGATTTTGTTGAAACTTGAAATGTAAGTTTATAACCCAAAGATCTCGGTTCCTTTCGATATTCGCGCATATCGGATCCGATTTAAAAAACCGTATTATTATATCACCATTACACCCTAAGGACGACTGAGTTCGAATTTCGTGAAAATCGGCTCAAAACTGACAGACAAAATGTCCGCCCTTTGTTCTCAAATAGCGTAAAAATATGGTATATCAAAGTTGTGGACCCTATAGAGGTCACAATTTGTATCCGATTTTGTTGAAACTTGAAATGTAAGTTTATAACCCAAAGATCTCGGTTCCTTTCGATATTTGCGCATATCGAATTGTAATTTCCTGAATTATGGCCCTTGATTGTAGGAAAAATCGCTTTCTTTTTAGCTTGTTCTCTATCCATCTTTCGAAAATGTGGGCGTATCCTGCCTGGCAGCCGCTGGTTATGAGTTATGGACAAAGTTGATAATTCTTGTGGATAAAACCTGTGTGTTCTTGACAGATGTTTTGCATTTCAATATTACATTACTCTTGGTGGAAGGTAACAACATGTAGCCTAATGGATATGATCCTCATTTTATCTTGAATGATGCAGAACCTGTGTTGAGTAAGGTGCTGGCTTGCTAACCAGGAGTTGTTGGGTGCGCTCCTGGTGTTGGTCCCCTGTGTTGGCCAAGAAAGTTCCTTGGAATTTTCTTATTGGTTGCCACTTGTCAGTGTTGCAGAATGGTAGGCATGTCAAGGAACAATGTCATTTGGAGGGCAAAAACGCAAGGTGCTGTTTACAACTTTACCTGCACATCCCTTGACAATTGGCAAACTGCATGACATATTTCATTTCATCTTGATGGATGCATAGTTCTTTTATTTAATTTTGGACATTGGTTTAAAACAATAATATGTTTGGTGATTTAACAGTACGTTGGGGGATTCCAAATAGAGCATTAAGCAGTTCATGAATATTATCAATTTAATGATACACATACAGCTGTACATCATATTGAACCTGGATTATTTTACATATTTTATGCCATTCATGTGAGCAGGTGTACTGGTCTGATTTCTTGTCCTAATAGCATTTGATATGATATTCTGGATACTGTATTTAGTATTGTTTTGGTCATTATTTTGATCCACGTCAACATCGTGATATAAAACATTTTAGTAATACTTATGTGTCTGCATTGTTGCAATCACGTTAATATATAATATATCAAACGTAACATATATTGAATTCAAATAAACATTTTATATTACAATAACACTGTAGGTGGTAACAAATTAAATGATTTTTAAATATCTAGTTTGTAAAAAGATGTTTAATCATTTTAGAATTCTTTATACAATGATTATACACTATATGCTATACACATATTTTATAAATGACTTGGGTTATAAATTTGAATATAGAAGTCTATGGCCATTTGCCCATTCCCACACTTTAGGGAGTGGGCAAAAAGAAAAAAAACAAAACATTATTTTTAAAAGGCAGTGAAAGTCTAAGGTTGGTTCCCTGAAACTAGGATGGGTGGGTTGGTGGGTGGCTGAATGGTCTAATGAGTGTGCTTTAGATCATAAAGTCTGTCATTAAGTCAACTGGCTGGTTTCGATTCCAGCTTCTACATGACAAGGATTGGGGTATCCGGTTTCCTCCCACTGCTAAAGACCCCAATACACAAGCGAATTATTGAAATAAAATTGACAATATGTTAGTTCCTGAAGGACCAAGTTTGTGTCAAGTGGACATTAAATTAGAAATCAACCTCCTTCCTAATCCGTCATATGAAAGTAGCTAAGTCTCGAACTCAATATCATCCAAAGTCTTCGACATTGAAAACACAAATTATTTGTCAGTTTAAATCAACATTGATGTTATGATCTTACCTGGAAAAGATGGCCTTCTGATATCCAATATTTAAGACAAAATAAACATTTTACCATATGTGCATTTCAGCACCATTTGTAACAGTAACATGGGATTCGAAGAACGAGGCTAGACATGTTCCACAAATCATGTCAAATGGTGACGCCATATTCTTATCTGGAGAGGATGCGCAATAAATACTAACGGGGTAGACTGGAATAACCAGCCACTAGAGATTGCCATTCGATTGAGACTCCTGGTGTACTTTGCCAAACATAACTGAGTTGAAATTAGAGTAAAAACGGAAACGATTAAATGTAAAATCAATTTATATGCATTTATATTACATTATTATATGTGTCAATTACTAGGTCCCAAATATTAACGATTGGGCTTGAGGTAAATATTCTTATAGTACATTTTTGAGACTTCACTTCATTGATCCATAATTGAGGCCCTTAGCTTCTGCAAAAGAAGAATCTGTGTACTGGTAAATGTCAACCGTTGATCTAAGCTTACCAAGATGGATCATCCAGGATACACAGAGTATTAGTATTCCGATTGAATATTTTGGCCAACTTGATTTTACCAAGGGCATGAGTTAAAGTTGGTTTTATTTGTTTTAATGTGGATAATATGAGGTTTGTAGGATTTATTATGTTGAAAAGACACCAGTAACCTTTAAGACCTGTATTTCTTTCAGTAGATTGTCAGATGTTAAAAGATTTAGATAAAGTTAGAACTATAAAAAAAAACTCAGCTATTCCTGATAAACTCAATGATAGATTTAGCACTAATTAGAATAATTTGACTCCTTATTTTATCTCTATTCTTAGATTTAATTTGATAATTCTAAACCCATAATGATGATGTAGTTTTAGACTTCATTGTACAAATGTGTCCTAGGACTGTGTTAGATTACTAGTCATGCATGTTTACTAGAATTTAGAATATTGATATTCATTTGAATCTAAGCTCTGTTATATTATTAACATTTAATAAAAACCTATTAAAAGTCATCGCAAGAGTTTTTGGTTCAGATAAAAAATCCAACCATTATCACATATAATATACTTTTAGCTACAGGACATTTTATGGAAGTTGTGACTGAAACATTACTGGGAAGCCAAAAGTAAAATTTGACCAAGGACTTTCGGCTACAGCAATTTAATTGAAATTAGATTAAAATTTTATTTTGTTTAATTTTTCTGATTTTGACACTGAATTGCAATCTAACAAAATTTCTTTAACAACCATGCTCTGCCAGAAAAATTTATATTTATTAAAATCAGTCATATTTCAAATGGTTACCATTATTTATAATCGCTAAACCAATAAGATTCTCTAGGGTTGTAAAATTGTCATGATTCACCATCAGTCTTGTACACCAATACAGACATTTTGGTAAGTCTGTAAGTTCCCATGATCTGAACTCTGAACAGTACTTTCATAGAAAATATGTCACATGTCAGTGGAATTCAACCTAAATTTTAAGCGAATCGCTAGCTGCAGCAGTTACAGATTGTCATGTCTTTAAATTTTGACGTGGGCAGAGGGTAATGACTGTCAAGGAATTGTATTGTGTCTTAAGTGGCTGTGGGATGTTCCTGAAGAACAAGTTTTCTGTTAAGTAATTACTTAGCAATACTGCATGGTTTAATGGTTGAGAGTGAGACATTAAGTAATATATTGAAACAACATGAGGGATGTTAGTCCCTTGTGTTGTTTCAATATATTATGCAATGTCTTAAGTTCAAGACCATTAAACGACTTAAAATACAGACACTCGCATGTGCTTTGCAATGAAATACGTCAGGCGGATCCAAAATTTCAACTAGTACAAATAATGGTATGCCAAAATCAAAGGATGACATCACATCTGTATTTTAATTGCATATAAAGGACTTAAAAATTACAGTGTTACTCTTGAGATAACCTGAATAAAATATTAGCACTATCACTCCATTTTATTCACCAAATCCTATCCCATATGCTCAATTTATGGATATTAGTTCTGTTTTGTCCTATTGTATTTTTTTCTTGTATTTTTCAGCTCGTATTGGTCGTTGTAAACTAAGCCCTCCAGAAGTAGAAGCGATGTTAAGATTGACGCCAACCCGCTCAAGAGGCTCAACTAAACTTTTTCGAAACTTACACAATAAAGGTAAGTTAGTTCATAGTATAGCAATGGAAACCACAAAATTTTTTTGTGTTCTATCAAAATTCTTGAATTCATATTCTACAAATCAACATTTTAATAGCAGTAGACTAAAAAATACATGTTGACAGGAAGAGTTTAAAACATTTATGTAAAATACCTTGTTCCAAAAATATCAAATTGTTTGTTGTGAGAACTCTTTAGGTATATGAGTAGTAAAACTTTTTCAAATCCCATTTACAGGGAAAAAAATACAATCTATTGATAGTAAAAGGAAAGCTAATGTCTCCTTTTTCATCCAGCTTGTTGTTCTTTTTGTATAGACAGTAGAAAGGAAACTCATTGTAGCCTTTTTAGTTGATCATTATTTATCATGAATACAAATTATTACCTTACAATATATATCATCTGATAAAATAATTCATGAGGAAAGTATAGCCACCTGTGTGTTTAAGATAGTGAATCTGATCAAAAGAAATAGAAACATTTGATACTTGCTGATAGTATAAATTGAAGAGATGCAGTCAACTTTGATTTTTTTTTTACATAATCATGTTAAATTATAAAACATGTATTAGATATGGTTAGTTTCTTCTCATTATACCATTTTGCAGGTGTTTAATATTTTCAATTTTTTTTTTCATCAATCGTTTGTAGGTATATGTTTATGTTGCCAGTCGATATGATATTTATATTAATTTACATGTTACACACGACTAACTTTATTATTATTATTTGTATCAAAAAAAAAAAGAATTTAACTATGTATCATGAGACTGATGAAGTACAGTTAAGTGGCCAGGACACTGGAATCTCAACTTGGACAAGGAGAACTTTCCTGATTTTTCAACCCTGGCCATCACTTGTTAGGCTTGTTAAGAAAAATGTGCTTAGTCATTTGAATGGAACAAAAAGTTGGGGTCTATCAGTGAATACCATAATCAGCTTGTTGTCCCCCACCTTGCGAACAAAGCATGGTGCTATTAAAATGAGTAACGCTTTTTGAGATATAATAACTCTGTGTATCTGTTCGCTTGTGAAATTTGACTTGAGAACATGATTAATAGTCTGTAAATAAACTACAATTTAATTTATTTCTATTTTTTTTTTTACAAATGAACATCAATGTGTAAATAGGTTTTTAATTTGGATTTTGAAAAGAACTGCTTCTTTAATCAACAAGAACATAGTAACATGAAAAGGGCAGATAGTGATATACCTGGTTAAAAATGGCTAGAGATTTATGTATGATATGAAAATCAACAACCTGAAATCAACAACTTCTAAAATTTACACAAATTGCCTTCCTATTTGTAGTTAATGATCATGAAGAAATACGTTATTCTCTATTAAGGGTATTCATAGATCTCTACATGAAAAATAAGATTATATTAAATTCTTAATTAAAATCATTTCTCTTACATAAACATACATTTTCAAAATTATATTGATAAAAGAAAAGTAATTAAATACCTTGTATCAAAGTCTTATAAATATTATATATTTTTTTTAGTTTCTAATCTTAATTTGTCTTAGAAATTCATTGAAGTCATCCTTTCTCTTCTTCTATTAAGGTTTAACGTCTGCTTCCACCGAGGTATCGCAAACAACTTGTCTTATGTGGTCGTATAATGATGTTGCCTCCGTACGTTGGTCCTAGCATCCACTATTGCTTGTGGACTCTCTAGAGTCTAAAGTTATACAAAGTGTTTAAGGTCTTGAGACGAAGAAGCCTAGTGATAATTTCCAATAAATACTGCCAGAGTTATGGCCCTTGGTCACCTGCAAAATCTTGTGGATGCTCTAGAAGCTAAAGTTAACACCTGATTGACTTTGAATTTATACACGCTGTTTAAGGTCATGCCAGAGTTATGGCTCTTGATCACTATGAAAAATCTTGTGGATGCTCTAGCATCTAAAGTTAATATAAATTTATACACAGTGTTTAAGGTCATGAGACAAACAGTCAAAACAATTTCTAATGATTTCTGATAATTACTTAATGGGTTGTTACTGGTAATCAGATTTTCATGTGTTATAAATGTTTTTATTACTGACAAAAGAAAAAATATGCGACAACCCTTGTTAACCGTCTGGACAACTTATCTACTCTGGGCGTATGTTTTGTTGCTTGGCAACCTATCTTTGTTATCTTAGCGCACGTGCAGGGGTCTTTCCTTTCTCTTGTGATTCTGTTTATGAAGGGAAGTTTGGAGAAAAAGTGAATGAATTGAGATATTTATCACCTGTAGGTGCTAAAATGATTAAGAAAAAAAACAACAGTTTAGATTAGCATTTTCTTGTCTGGTCAATCAGATAATAAGTGTCTAATTGCCTTTCCAGCTTCTCAAAGGACTGGTATTAAACTGTGAAAAAATCTAATTGTGAGGTGTCTGCCCAATGAAAACAAGTTTTTATAGCCCATCAATTAGCAAGATTTGCTCAACAGAGCAAGAAATTTTTTTTCTAAAGTGCTTTTATCCATTTGTTGCTCTAGGTTTCAATAATGTGCCTTGTTTGCTTGATTAGTTTTCCCACCCTATTTAAGTCACAATCTGAAGGTAGACAGATACTGTGTAAGTCGTGATGGTCTACCTCAAATAATTGAATTTCTTTACTTCAGAAGAAGAAAATAGATTTTGATGAACTTCTTAGGACTTTTAAAAGGACTACAAAACAGTATGATTTATTTTAAAAAATAGAAAAATATGCTATTTCACCTGCAACGATCTAAAAACAAATTGAAATGATTTTACTAAGTAACAATCTGTTCCAAAAGTGACTTTAATTGGAAGAGTTTTACTCATCAGACATAAATTAATGATTGGCTTAGGAAGATTAAGATAACCAAATTAAGATATAAATTATTTAAAATCATGGCCTATTTTATTGAAAGAGACATTTTAGTTGTGTTTTCAACCATTTAATTAATTTATGGATAAAGGTGTTAAAAACATGACTCCATTGTTTCACATTGAATTAAAAAATACATTTAATCTCATCAATGTTGTAGAAACATTTAGCGTCAGTCAGGTTGATTTAAAGTACTTTAAGTTCCTATGTTATAATTTCTGTACTTCATACATGATCTGAACATGATGAAAACATTCTGTGGGCTATACCAAATGTGACAGGATTATTATTATTAATACAACAAATCGACCCACACACACACACCTGGTCTTGACACTGACAACAACTCCTTTCCCTCACAAGAATTAGCTTACTTGTATTTAGAAATTATTTATAGCAAATTCAGATAAATCTCGAGAACAACCCATGGACGACTATGATAGAATATGAGCACATGCTCAATACTATCCTAGAACTACTCCTAAACAAAACTTAGTGTATGCAATTGATTTTCCGCAATGATTGTAAGTTTGTAAAAGTGTCTGTAACTTAGTTGTTTGGATGACATTTTGTAATCAGAATACCTTAGTTGTCAATGGTGTATTTGATTCCCTATCTCTGTGCGTTTCACCATCTGTGTCTTAAAGTTTTTCTGACATATGACAGTAGAGAAATATTATTTCTGGCATGCACAATAAAAAAAAGATAGTCTTACCGTTTAATTGAAGATTGATGTTATATACAATGTAGATAATATATCCCTAAACTGATTCACCAGATTAATCCATTATGTATATGGCTTACAAGATCCCAATGTAATATTCCAAAGCACTAATGGGGTTAAATGTTCACAGACTGAAACAAATGATATTTAATTTAACAACAGTCTTATCATTTATGATGCCTTGGTTGTCTTTGGTTAAATTGAGACCCTGTCTGATTCATTCCACTTGAATCATCTTAGTCATGGTTTCTAAAACCAACTGATACTAAAAGATGATTTGATTAGGATCATTTACTATTACTCACAATAGATGTTTCATAATCCTTATCCAGTCTAATCTGACATTCAATAAAAATTCCTGAATGGGTGTAAAATGTCATAAATCAAAAATACTGAAATCAAAGCATTGGTTGAAATGTGTAATATAGCAATGTTAGTCATTAAAACCTTTCACTTTCGATACACATAATACAGTACAGGTAATATTATTCAAGGTAATTGTATCCAATTAAAAATAAAGTAATACCTTGGTTCATACCTTCCGAAAGTCAACACTTCGCAGTATTAAGAGTCTGTCCAAATATGAAAAGTTAATCATTCATATCTTTCATTTAAACTTGTAATATATCTCATGATTAAATATGTAAAAAAGAATTCAAAGATGAAGGTCACCGTTTTATCCTATGAACATTTCAAATCTAATAAAACAGGCTATGAAACATGTTGGGCGTCTGCTTTCACACCTACACTTAAAATTAAAATGAATGCATAGCAAGCGGTCAATCTTTGTTTGATTGGCCATAGCCAGGACCAGATGGACATTGAGATGGTTATTGTAATACCTGTATACAACTGTCAAATACTCAAACAACCTGTTCCTCTTACAAATTGGGTCTCTATTTTACACCCACCATATGACATTATTAAAGCGATCATGAGCTTTGATATCTAACCGATCTTATATATAGGTAATGTCAAGGAAGTAATATATTTTAATACATGTACCTACATGTATGGTATATGATATTATTTATAAATATTATATTGAATTTATACAATATGAACCCAAGGTTTAAATTCAACATTTATTTACTAGCATTCATTTATCAGGATTATATCAATTTTTCAAACACCTATATTATATTTTGTTTGGATGAACTGAAGTGGAACTTGATATTTTAAGAAATAAAACATATTTACTTACTGCCATTTTGTCAAATTGCATTGGATCCTGCTTACCAGAGATCTTAATTGGATGATTATTGCTAGCCTCAGTAACTTGATGTTTGAAAAAGCTGATAGATAAAAGATAAAACAATGAACTTGCCATTATTTTATCATAATTCAATTTCCTTTAGTCTCATTTACAAATGATTATTACTTGTTGATTAAGAAGTTAATCAAATTGTCAGCTACAATTAATAACAGT